AAAAATACATTTTATTCATATCTAATTTATGTACAGTGAAATACACAAAACTAAAGTGACATGGGTTAACTTTTTTTTTTTTTTTTTTTGCAGTGTTCCCTCCCCTCCTCTCACCCCTGGTAACCAACAAAGAAAGCTCCCTTCCATGTATTAACCTCTTATTGACTTTTTTACAATAATGAACTAATACTATATTTGCCTTTCTGTGATTGACTTATTTCACTCAGCATAATACCCTCCAACTTCATCCATGTTATGTGGTGCTTTGCAGATTCTACATTATTCTTTGGTGTTGCATAGTGCTCCATTGTGTGTATGAACCATAGTTTGGTTATCCTTTCTTCCATTGATGGGCACTGTGGTAGTTATGTTTGTGTGTCAACTTGGCTGGGTTTGGTTGAGCAGCTGGGCAGCTGGTGGTAGTTATTCCCCATGATGAGACTGGCAATCAACTCCATGGTGGTATCTACCACAAGCAGCTGTATAGCTACCTTTGGGGTGTGGTCAACTTACTGTATACAAGGAGAATCCTTGGGAATGGTCTCTAGCCTATGGCACACTTGGACCCTGCATGTAGCCGCGTCATTGCTCAGCAGCCTGCTATGCTCTGCCAACCTTGGGACTTACAATGGACTTAAGTTAATGGCCTGCCGTGTGGTTTGGAAACATCACGATTGTGCCTTTTTACTTGTCAAACTTGGAGCTTTTTAGCCTCAGCAGCCAACAGCTAAGTGAAGAAATACCTCTAGCTCCAGTGGGCTGGAAGCAGGAAGTATAGCTGGACCCCAAGGTTGAGCTGCTTTCACCCAGCCCCTAGAGCCTGGCACTTTGAACTTGAACTTAAATCCTCCAAATTGTAAGAATAAACTCCTGTTTGTTAAGGCCATCCAATTTGTGGTATATTTCTGTCAGAGTGGCACTAGGTAATCAGAATAGGCACCTAGGTTGTCTCCATTTTTCTGCTATTGTAGATAGTGCTGTGATGAACATGGGTATGCACATATTTGTTCTCATCCTGACTTTCACTTCTTTAGGATGTTGTTGTTGTTGTTATTTGCCATTGAGTCGGACCCAAGGTGGTATCACTACAGAAGTAGATTGCCCAATCTTTCACTTATTTAGGATATATACCTAGTAAAGGGATTGCTGGGTCAAATAGTATTTTTAATTCCAGCTGCTTTTTAAGGAATCACCATACTGCTTTCCAGAGTGATTGTATCATTTTACATGGACTATATCATAATTCTTAACATATTTCAAAGACTATGTTCTCCTACAACAATATAATTAAACTAGAATTCAATTATAAAAGCTTATATAAAAATCTTCAACAATTTGGATGTAACCAAAACATCTCAAAATCCCATGAGTTAAAGAAAAAAATCATAATGGAAATTAATCATATTGTGAATTAAATAGGAGTAAGATACTTTTACAAAAAAAAGTGATGTTTAAAGAGAAATTCATAATTAAAATGTACATATTTCTAATGGAGAATTGCTTGAAATCAGACATTAATATCTTATTAAGAAGTTTAAAAAATAATTGCAAAATATTGAGAACTAGAAGGAAGGAAATGATAAAAATAAAAATAAGGAAAAAAGAAATGGGTACATAGAACAATAATATCAATATTAAATGAATTGATTATGTATTAACCAAGATATAGTTATGAAATAAATGCTTTTTGGATTAAGCATAGTGGTGGGAAATCCCCTGTAATAAGCACAGGGTCTAAGCCAATCTCATTCTTAAGGAAGTAAATACATCCTCTCCATAATCGTAGCATTCAATAGATTACTGTGACTTACGATTCAGAAGAAAAATCTGTGCCACCCTATTGCAGATTACTTTATTTTTTACACCATAAATAATAGGGTTGAGTGCAGGTGGCAGAAGCAGGTAGATGGTTGACAGAAGAATGTGGGTAGAAGGGACAACATGTCCAAAACGGTGGTTGAAGAATGAGAAGAAGGCAAGAACATAAAACTCAAGAAAGACAAAAAAATGAGGTATGAATGTACTAAAAGCTTTGAGTCATGCCTCCTTTTGGTGTAGAAGAAAAACAGCTTGGAAAATCAGGACATGGGATATGATAATAAAAATCAAATCAAATCCAAGAATTGTAAAACCAACAAAGAGACCACACGTTTTATTGACTTGAATGTCTTCTGAAGCCAGCTTGACCACAGCCATGTGCTCACAGTAAGAATGAGCAATAACAGTGAAATGGAAAAGATGCAGTCTTTTTATTAGAGTGGGTAACAGGCCAACCAGCACTGTGGCCCGGATGACCACTAACAACACCATCCAAATCAGGACAGAAGGTCTAAGGATACATGTGTGCCTCAATGGATCACAGATAGCAACATAGCGGTCAAAGGCCATGGCCAACAAGATGCCAGATTCCATGCACTGCAAGGTGTGGATGAAGAAGAGCTGGGCTAAGCAGGCATCAAAGGCCATGAAGTGAGAACCAAACCAAAAAATGGCCAACATCTTGGGAGCAATGGCTAAGCATAGCCCTACATCAGTGGCAGCTAGCACTGCCAGGAAGATGTACATGGGCTGATGCAGGTTGTATTCTGCAGGGATGATAATCAGTAAAATGATGTTTCCCAGAAGAGCAACCAGGCACACTGCAAAGAAGGGAAACCCAATCCAAAACTGCACATGTTCTAGTCCAGGGATGCCAATCAGGGTCACTGTGCTGGGATCCAGAGATGACATGTTGAAGGATGCCATGGAGGTTGGTGAAATCACTTCTCACCAGTGATTCTGAATCCTGCAGAAGGAGCACATGAATGGGAAGTAAAAAAGACCATAAATCCCACTATCATTCAGCTATATTGATCTCAGTTCTTTGAATGGTAATTTGGGCAGGTGATGCTGACATGTACCCATTACATGTCACAATAGTAGAAGCAAATGCTTTTGCAAACCTTCACTAGAGTGATTTATGAAGGTGGAAAACAGAAGATAGTCTCAGGATTTCTTATGTAAATCTTAAGGAAATGGTAAAGACATCCAGTCTTTTGCATCCTCCTTGAATTCTAGGTTGGGTCAACTGAAAAGCGTTTTCTTCTTTATCTACATCTAAATGCCAGCACAATTTCATTACATTTGGAAATGACCCTGGGTCCTTGAGGTCCCAGAAGAGATTCTGTTTCTGTAGCCTTCTGTGCATTAGTGCATACTCCTATGAGAGCTTTCACTCCCAGACACATTGCTCTTTGTCCCAGGGAGCAAGTTATTTATATCTGCAGAAAAAATAGAAACCAAACCCACTGCCATTGACTCAATTCCAACTCTTCATGACTCCCGTGTATTTCTAGGTTGTAAATCTTTGCAGAAGCAGACTGCCTCAACTTTCTACTGTGGAATGGCTGCTGGCTTGGAACCACTGACCTTTCGGTTAGCAGCCAAATGCTTTAACTGTGCCACAAGAGCTCCATTTATCCCTGAGTCTTTGGAACTGGTGATTGAATAAGATTTCGTAGGGGAGAGTTTAACTTTCTTATATTCATTCTTTCTCTCATGTAAATGATCAAATCTCTGTTTGGCAGTGCACTAAGTATTGATCGCCCTTAAAGAAGATATGAAGAGGGTGATATGCTTTCAGAGGCAGCCAGGGGTTATTGGTTCACTAAACAAATTAAGGCCCATTTATATTTAGGGTGACTATGTTGAGTGGAACAAGGAGGAGCTCTGGTAGCCTAGTGGCTAAGGCACTTGACTGCTAACCAGAAGGCTGGCAGTTCAAACCCACCAGCCACTCCTCAGAAGGAATATGGGGCAATCTGCTTCTGTAGTGATACTGCCTCGGAAACCCAAGGAGGGGTCGCTATGAGTTGGGTCTGACTCGAAGGCACACAACAACAGCATGTTGAGTGGAACAAGAGGATAGGCTACACAGGATGCTTCACAAGGGTCTTCCAAAACCAAATGAAAATCACTACCATCAAGTTGATTCCAACTCTTAGTGACCTCCATTGGGTTTCCAAGGCTGTAAATCTTTACAGAAGTAGATTGCCTCATTTTCCTCTGGCAGAGCAGCTGGTGTGCTTAGAAAGGAGATTTAAAATAAAAAAAAATACATATGAAGAGAAGGAGAACACAAAGGAACAGATTTCAAGAAGAAGGGGCCTAAAAACATGCCAGAGTATAGTTCAAAGTAGAATCTGGCTAGTTTAGACATACCCTGCGCATAGATTAGCATAACTACATTTTGTTTTGTTTCCCAAGAGGTCAAAGGTCAGTAGAGCACTGGACTCTTCAACTCGGGTTAAGTCTGCATATCTTTCCACTTCACACATTGTGGATCATACTATTCTTTTGAATAACTTTTCGCTACTATTCCTGTCCATTGTGACTCAAACCAAAAAAAAACTCATTTCTGTCGAGTTGGATCTGACTCATAGTGACCCCTCCTTGGGTTTCTGAGGTGGTATCAGTACAGAAGTAGATTGCCCCATCTTCCTTCTGAGGAGTGGTTGGTGGGTTTGAACCATTAACCTTCTGGTTAGCATTGTGACTGTTATATACTAAACTATACCAGGATTGTCTGTGGTTTGAATACAGAGTTTCCTTTCAATATAATACCCAGCTTTGAATATCTCCCTAAAACTTCAATCTTTTCAGAATTTTAACTAATTCTCTTTCTGGGGATCAAAATCTCAAATGTAAGAAAATCTTCTTTATCCTCATTTAGTCTGTTTCTTTAATCACTCTCTATATTTGCACAATTTTCTCTTATCTGCCCAGTCTTGACACTCATTGTAATCACTCTCACAAAGAGGTTTCCTTTGATCTGGTTACATTCATACATCTGGAAAGAAAAGTTCTGTATGAATGAAAAAAAAAATATAATGATCAACTTTACTTGTGATTCTGTAACAGTGATAAGTAGCCTGTATATGTCAGAATTAACTCAGAGGCAACAGTTGTGGGTTTTGTTGGTTTGTTTATTTGTAGTCAGAATAGTCTTAAAATGCAGCTGAAACTAAAAACATTGTGAAAAATAGTTTATTTGATGTTTATAAGTAGTATATGGTATCTTTGGTAGAGGAGATAGTAAGCATATGGAAGATATTGCTAATAGTTATGAATTTGAATTGCTAGAAATGGCTGAAGATAAAAAAAAGAGATCTCATAAGCTAAATAAATCAGTATCTATTGAATAATAATCAACAGGTAATTGCTTGTGACTATAAAGACAAAAATAAACATAATACCTTCTACATCCGTTTGATGATATATTGCCTTGGTCATATTGCTTCTCTGTTAATTTGTGAATGGTTAAAAATCAAGGTTTGAAAATCAAAAGGATTACTATTGTTGTTGTTAGGTGATCTCAGATCCATTTCTACTCAGTGATCCTATGTTCAATAGAATGAAGCACTGCCCGGTCCTGTGCCATCCTCACAATTGTTGCCATGTTTGAGCCGTTGTGGTACCAACTGTGTCAATCCATACTGTTCAGGGTCTGCCTCTTTTTGGCTGACCTTCTGCTTTCCAAGCACAATATCCTTCTCCAGCGACCATACCTACTGCCTTCAAGTTGATTACAACTCATAGCTATCCTATAGCTATGTGTAGAACTCTCCCACAGGGTTTCCAATTCTGTAAATCTTTATGGAAGCAGATTCCCCATCTTTTCCCCATGGAGCAGCTGGTAGATTCAAACCACCAATCTTATGGTGAACAGTCAAATGCTTTAACAACTACATCACCAGAGCTCTCCTAATAATATGACAAAAGTATAAGAAATGAAGTCTTGCTGTCTTCGTTTCTAAGGAGTCTTTCAGCTGTACTACTTCCAAGACAGATTTGTTTGTTTTTCAGGCAGTCCATGGTATATTCCATATTCTTTTCCAACACCCATAATTTAAATGCATAGATTCTTCATAATGGATGCATTTAATTCTTCAAAGGTCTTCTTTATTCATTGTCTAGGTTTCATATGTATATAAAGATATTAAAAAGATAATGGCTTGGGTCAACACATCTTATTCTCCACAGTGATGTCTTTGCTCTCTAACACTTTAAAGAGGTCTTTTGCAGCAGTTTTACCAATACAATACATTGCCATTTGATTTCTTCAAAGCTGATTCCATAGATGTTGATTTCAGACCTAAGGAAAATTATATGCTTGACAACATCAAACTTTCTCCACTTATCATTGTGTTGCTTATTTGTCCAGTTGTGAGCATTTTTGTTTTCTTTATATTGAGGTGTAATCCATACTGAAGCCTGTGTTCTTGGCTACTAATCTTGGAGCAAGGAGCTCTGATGGTGCAGTGGCTAAGGTATTCAGCTGCTAACCAAGAAGTCAATGGTTAGAACCTACCAACAGTTCCAGGGAAGAAAGATGAGGCAGTCTGCTTCTGAAAAGATTTACAGCCTTGGAAACCCTATGGGACAGTTTTACTTACTTTGTCCTACATTGTTGCTATGAGTCAGAATCAACTCCAAGGCAGTGGATTGGGTGGGAACTCTGGATCCTTTAGTTGCCATTAATGGAATCTTGCCAAAATGCCTTAAAAATTACCAAAAGTTTACTCATCTGTAAATTTTGGCAGCTGGAAAAGTTCCAGTATTCAATATATGTTAGATTTAAAAGAGCCAAGGCATTTTATCAGCACAGGAACAGAGTATGAAATATGAAGACGATAAAAAAAGAAATGAAAACTTCTTGATCTATCAGTGAAGAAGACTTCATGAGAAGAGGAAAGTAATAGAAACAAAAAGCTTTCCTCCATATCCTTATATTAAGATTGTTTATTGCTTCAAGTAGGCATCAAAAGACCACAGTCAAAATAAAAGTATGATATGCTAACTACTTTTCAGATTCTCTTGCAAAACAAGAAAAAAAAATTGTCATATGATTTAGAAACATTATTTGTAATAATTAATGCTTCTTTACAGCCTTTGTGAGTAAGTAATAAAACAAAGAGAACACAATGCATCTAAACATCATGAATGCTGTTTCCATGGGCATTGATTATGGATCTAAGTAAAATGAAATAGTTTTTTTTCATATTTTGTCCATAGAATCCTTGCAAGTCAAGTATTGACTTTTCTTCAGTTTTTGAAGAAATACCAAATGTTCTTCATTTTTGGTTGTGTAACTCCAGGTTTGTGCATGTTTCATTGTAATGCTTTACTGTCTTCTGGAGCCATCCTCTGAAATCTTATGTTCATCTCTTTGACTTCATCTTTCCTTCCATTCATTTTAGCTATTCTACATATAAAACTCAGTTTCAGAGTCTCGTCAGACACTGATTTTGGCCTTTTCTTTCTTTCCTGTCTTGTTAATGACCTTTTGCTTTCTTCTTGTAGGGATGAATTAGATGTCATGCCCCAAATCATTTGGTCTTCAGTCATTACTGTCCAATGGATTCAATCTATTCTTGAGATGGCCTCTTTATTCAGGTAGGATATACTCAAGGTCATGCATTGACTGTGGTGAACTTGTTTTAATTTCTTCATCTTCCACTTGAACTTGCATTTGAGCAATTGATAGTCCATTCTATAGTTGGTCCCTGGCCTTGTTCTGAATATTGAGCTTCTCCATTGTCTCTCTGTAGATGAAGTTGATTTGATTCCTATACATTCCTTCCAGTTAGGTCCACATGTATAGTCACCATTTATGTTGTTGAAAAAATAGGTATTGCAATGAATAAATCATTGGTCTTTGCAAATTCTATCATGAGATGTCCAGTGCCATGTCTCTCAGCAAGGCC